TGTTGAATTACAAAAGGACTTGTCACCTTATTGTTGAATTATCGTCAATGAACCTTCAGAATACTTTGTTTCGTGTTTCTAAGGTGTTTTACGAACGTTGTTTGTTTGCCTTGATGTTATTCAGTTTTTAAAAGTTGGATGTTAATATTATTAAATTGAGTTCACTGCTTTCCGATGTTTTATTACTGTGATCTCGACTTGAACGCAAACGGATCACTGGAGTATTTAGAAAATTCCTCACAGATACAACAGGAGTTAATTGGCGCAGTCAGTAGGATGCTATCATCATTTTACAAACAACTCACCTAAGAAAATCAACAGGTCGTATTCCACTTTTTTTTTTATACAGCTTCAATAATCCGGTAAGCACGGTATTAGATTTTATTCACGTTCGATTTTAAGCGAAGCTATTATCAACATGTCTGAAACTGCAAAATTAATCGAATTAATGCAATTGCAAATTGCAAATCAGCAAAAACAAATGGAAGCTCAAGCGGCAGCTCATCAAGAACAAATGAAGGCTCTTCTCCATACAATGTCTTTTTCAGAATCAGGAACTGCACGTTTTACTTCTACATTACCTTCAGTACCTGTTTTCGAACCATTTGATTCTACAAGTGAATTGTGGCCTGACTACTACGATAGATTTTTGACATTTTTTGGTGCACATAATGTTAATGACGATAGAAAGGCTCAAATTTTCCTAATTAATCAATCTAAGGATGTTTACCGGTTACTGGGAAATTTGGCAAAACAGCAGAATCCACCCAAGCAAATTAATGATCTTAGCATGGATGAAATTGTAAATTTCATGAAGACGCAATATGACCCCAAACGATTTGTTGTACACGAACGCTTCAAGTTTTGGAGTGATATGCGCAGAAAGCCAGGTGAAACGCTACAGGAGCTTGCGGCACGTATTCGCCAAGATGCTGCCACCTGTGGTTTTGCATCCATCAAGGATCCTCAGGATGAAGCACTCAGATCTCGTTTTATTTGTTCTGTAAACAATGAGGCAGTGCTTAAAGCCCTTTTTAAGGTCAAGGACGACGAACTGGATTTTGCTAGGGCTATTGAAATTGCCACAGAAACAGAGGATGCAGCTAAAGTGGCTAAAGACACGGTTTATGGGGCTAGGCCAAAATCTGTACACAAGGTCGCTCTACGGCCCTCTAACAAAGCAATGGAAACCAAGTCCAAGACAGGCAAATCAGCTTGTTACCGCTGTGGTGTTGAAACCCACCAAGCACCACAATGCCGTTTCAAGGACTCAGAATGCCACTTCTGCGGAATTAAAGGACACATCTCGAAGGTATGCAGAAAGAAAAATTCTGCAACTATTAAAAGCTCAAAGACGCCGGTAAAACTCATCCATGAAATCAAAGCAGTGAATGAAAGATCCTTGCCAAAGCTGGAAGTACCTATCAAGATCCAAGGGCAAACATGCACAATGGAACTGGATACTGCAACGAATGGGAACTTCATTTCAAAGCAGACATGGAAGGATTTGGGAAGTCCAAATCTTCAGAAGCCTGATTTACACTATGAATCAGCAAGTAAACATAGTTTACCAATCATTGGTACGTTCGTCGCCAAAACGTCAACACAGGAGTCAGAGGAGACACGTGATATCAAGTATACAGTGTCAGAAATCCCAGAACTTAACCTATTGGGACGAACTGCTACTAAGGAGCTGGGCATTTCTGTAGACCAAGCACTCAACGATGTCGAATCATGTCATGCAGTCTTTAGCAATCTAAAGGCCGACATCAAACTACAGGAGAAATGCAAGAAATTGTGCAATGAATTTAAAGATTTATGGAAACCGGAATTAGGATGCCTCAAGGACTATGAACTCGAAGTAAAGTTTAAGCCCAATGTCCAGCCTATCTTCAGGAAAGCACGGCCAGTTCCATTTGCCATGGAAGCTGATTTGGAAGAAGAATACCAGAAGGGTATAACAAAAGGAGTATGGGAAGCCATACAATTTTGTCAATTTGGGACTCCAGTGGTTCCTATCAAGAAGGCTGTGCTCCCAGGACAAAATAAACCCAAGATCAGAGTCTGTGGGGATTATTCTGTCACAGTCAACCATCAACTGGAGGAACATCGACACCCGCTTCCTCTCCCCGAAGATCTTATGAGAAGATTGGGAGGAGGATATGGATTCACCAAAATTGACTTGGCAGATGCATATAACCAAATCAAGCTTGCGCCGGAAAGTCAACGAAGACTAGCACTTAGCACTCATAAGGGAGTGCTTTTGCAGAAAAGACTTCCATTTGGTATCAAATCTGCCCCCGGATACTTTCAACAGATCATGGATCAGCTCACTGTAGACCTTCCTGGTGTGGCTACCTATCTGGATGACATCCTTGTAAGCGGTATTGATGCTGAGGACCACCTGAGCAATCTTCGGCGTTTGCTCCAAAGACTGCAAGACAAAGGTCTCCGTTGTCGACAGGAAAAATGTCACTTTGCCCAGCCATATGTTGAGTATTTGGGACATCTACTGTCACAACAAGGAATCGCAAAAGGTCCTAAGGTAGATGCTGTTCTTAAAATGACAGCTCCTACAAACGTTTCAAGTCTTAAAGCTTTCTTAGGATCTGTCCAGTTCTATGCCAAATTCCTACCATCAGAACTAGCTACAATAGCAGAGCCTTTGTACAAGCTGACAAAGAAGACGGTCAAGTGGAAATGGCAACAAGAACACCAAAAGTCTTTCCAACGTCTGAAAGACTTGCTTTCTTCAGAGAATGTCCTGGTTCATTTTGAAGAGAAACACATCCTAGGTCTGGCATGCGACGCTTCAAACGTTGGAATTGGAGCCGTATTATTTCATCGTTTTCCAGATGGAAGCGAGCGCCCAATTGCCAATGTCTCCAAAACTCTCACAGAAAGTCAAAGGAACTATAGCCAAATCCAAAAAGAAGCCCTGGCAATTGTGTTTGGATTGAAGAAGTTCTACCAGTACCTTTTTGGACGGAAGTTTGTACTGGTCACAGATCATCGACCACTGTTAGCCTTATTTGGGCCTGGAAAAGATGTTCCTCTAATGGCTGCTAACCGACTGGCTCGTTGGGCTCTAATGTTAAGCCAATTCAACTACAAGATTGAATTCAGGAAGACTAAGGATCACGCTAATGCTGACGCTCTCAGTCGTCTACCTCTGCAGGAAGATTCACAATTTGATGAGGAGGAAAGTGTAGATGACACATTAATGGTCTGCCAGATACAGACAATTGACGAGAAAGTCACTCCAGCAGAACAAGGATCTCTTGCAAGAGAGTCAGCAAAGGATCCAATAATCTCAATGGTAATGAGATTCATTCGAGAAGGCTGGCAACCAAAGAAGAACGATGAAGGAACGGAAATGCACCGATTCCGACAGGTTGCTACTTTACTGTCCATATGTAATGGTTGTTTAGTCCATGGGTCGAGAGTGGTGATTCCAGCAAGCATGAGAAGAAACGTTCTGGGACTTCTTCACCTAGGACACTTTGGAATGCAGCGAATGAAGCAACTGGCTCGCACGGCTGTCTATTGGCCAAACATCGATGAGGATATTGAGGCCACATGCAGACACTGCATACCTTGCGGTCAGCATCAGAACAGACCAGCCAAACCTGCAATTCACCCATGGATGCTTCCAGAGAAACCCTGGAGCAGATTACACCTTGACCATGCGATCAACTTCATGGGTACAAACTGGTTGCTGCTTACAGATGCATATTCTAAATACCCATGCATCCATCCAACACAGTCCGTTTCAGCCAAAGCTACGGTTGACCTATTGGAGCAGGACTTTGCGCATTTCGGTTACCCACACACCTTAGTAACAGATAACGCTTCTGCATTCATGTCAGTCGAATTCCAGACTTGGTGTAAAGAGCGAGGCATTGTCCATCTCACCGGAGCTCCATACCATCCTGCCACTAATGGAGCAGCTGAACGACTTGTGCAAACTTTCAAGCAGGCACTCAAGAAGTCAAGTCTTCCTCCCAGAAAAGCCCTGCAAGAATTCCTTATGCAGTTTCGCAGAACTCCCAACTCCAGTGGGTATTCTCCGAGTGAACTGCTGAATTCACGTCAAATTAGAACCAAGATTGATACTCTATTACCATCTCCAGCGCATACAGCCCAGGGAAAACAAGCTAGAGAGGCTACCAAATCCCAGCAGAAAGAGATTATCTCTAAAGTAGTAAGATCTTACAAAGTCGGAGATCCTGTCTACGCCCTCTACTTTGGTCCTAGAAGAGACAAAGAAGGTCGTTGGGTGCCAGCTGTAATCATCAAGCGCAAAGGCTCTCGATCTTTCAATGTTCGAATACAGCCAAAAGGCCCTACTTGGAGACGACACCTTGAGCAGTTGCAGCCGCGTTATGCTTCAGTAGAAGATGATGATCCCGGAGTTCCTCCTTCACCGTCTACAGAAAGAGCAACTCCACCTCTGACAAGCGCTGCTACTTCCGTGGAACTGCCAGGATCTGCCACCGAAAGAAGGCCAGCTACACCAGAGTACGGTCCTCACAAACCACGAAGATCAAAACGGGCCCCTAAGCCTAAGAAGATGTTCTCGCCTTCGCCTTGAACTTCAAGGCTAGGTGGGGAGGTGTTGTGGTAGTTGCGCTGCGATGCTGCTGATTTAACAAGAAAAGAACTGCGGCATCGTGTGTTGAATTACAAAAGGACTTGTCACCTTATTGTTGAATTATCGTCAATGAACCTTCAGAATACTTTGTTTCGTGTTTCTAAGGTGTTTTACGAACGTTGTTTGTTTGCCTTGATGTTATTCAGTTTTTAAAAGTTGGATGTTAATATTATTAAATTGAGTTCACTGCTTTCCGATGTTTTATTACTGTGATCTCGACTTGAACGCAAACGGATCACTGGAGTATTTAGAAAATTCGGTCTCACATGGTATTCAGCATCAGCAGTTAGAATGGTTTAAATCATACCTTTACAACCGGAAGCAATATTCTAGGGTAAACGGTGTTGATTCATCAATATTGGAAATAAATGTTGGTGTACCCCAAGGCTCATGTCTTGGACCCCTTTTATTCCTCATTTATATTAACAACCACCCACTAGCTATCCAAAAAAAAGTGTCTATGCATGCAGATGACACGAGCCTTTGCCATCAATCGCATGCGTGATCTTTTCACAGAAAAATCCAATTTAAATTCTAGGAATCTTCTTCAACTGACCTAAGGCTACAAAAGAAAAACTCCAAAATTGGACAGAAATGCTTCTCGTTTAAAGGTGCTAGTTCTTGGAATGGCCTTTCAGCTGAGTGTAAACAGTCATCTTCCTTGACCAACTTCAAAAAAATCTTGCGAAATTGTAAATAGGCGTAATTGTGAATTGTGTATTGAAAATTACCATTTTGCCTTTCGTTACAGATATTTGTTGTTCAAGTTAAGTTCAAGTTAAAATAAGATTTATTTTAGATTGTAAATATTGAATTGTAAATAGGATAATTTGTTTTTTATAAGAATTTCTGTAAGTATTTTAAGTGGAGGGCCCCTTGAAAATCAGCTTTGCTGAAGGGCTACCCTCCTTAAACATTTGAAATGAATGAATGAATAAATGAACATGTGAAAACCCTTTTCACGTTGGGAAAAGGCCCCTCTAACTGAATATTGACCCCCAGGCTAGCCCCCCCCCCTCAGTAAGGCTAGAATGGCGTATACCTTTTGCAGGCCAGACGATGTGGCTCCATTTCACGTCATTTTGCACTGACATATCACCATGTAACTTCTAATATTGTCTACCCCTCTGTGTTGATAATACAGTTAGCAAATAAATTTAGTACCAGAATGAAAATATAATAGTTTGATTGTTAACACGACCTTTCGAGCATGAACTCGTTATCAAGTCAAGAATTGTTGCCCTGCCCACCCGACAGAGGATATTGCGTCATGACCTCGCTTTCATGTTCGCGAAGAAAATTACCAGAAGGAGAACTTTTCAAACAATTTGCAAATGTCTGGGTTCATCGTTAAATATCGTCAATATTTTAGATTATTTGCTGCTGACGATTAACAGCATTGCTTTTGAAATGATCACCAAGCTTGCTGTGGACTTGCTTTGTTCAAAATAGGAGGAAAATTGATAGATTATTCTTGTATATTTATGTGTACAAGAAGTTAGGCCAACTTCCGAGATCACGAAAAATAGTTTGTTGCCGATAATTAGATTGGGATTAAGACTTTGAATCAAAATGGGTACTGTATCAGGGTAAGTTATTACGCCGATATTACATCTTACCTATTAGGTAGGAAATCTAACTTGTTAACTGTTAAAGTAGAAAAAGATATGTTGATTTATGTATGTAGCGTAGGTAGTCAAAGATAATTTTTGGGTAGCTTTTTGTTTGCAGTTTTGGATACATACCTCAAAACTATATAATCATCAAAGAGTTTTCATGCATTTAGACTTGGATCTTGTTTGCTATAATACGCGCATCTAATATATTTCCATAGCATAATCGGGATGTCATTTACTGCTGCCATTGGCATACTGTTGGTTGTGCTTGGCTGTGCACTAAAGGAGTTTCAAACAGAAAAGGGGTATGCCTACATCAAAATTTTGTACTTGTGCTTGTAAAAAGTACTTCTATTTGTTTTAATAACCAATCCAGAAGAAAAAGTCAAACCTTTCTTTTTTGGAAAATTACTAAAACAATCCAGTCATCCTCCTGAGCTCAATCATTCTCCTGAGGATTCTTCTTTTCAACCATTTTTTGCCAGTTAACAAATTTATCAGCCAGCTATACATTTAATAGAGCTCCAAATCTCCTATTTTTTCATGAGGCAATAAAATTCACCCACATCATTTTGAATATGAGCCCTGTTATTGGCTGCTGATCAAAACTGTTTCTTCTCACCATTCTTTAATCAGTACATCAAATCAATAGGCAAAAGCAACCTGTAAGAAGGCATGATAATATGGGAGTTTTCCTATAAACTGGAATTTCAGCCCTTTTGGCCTTTACCCTGTTGGCCGCTAACCCAATAAAATAAGGGCTGACCAATATCAATAAGGATTGGGCAGAATAACATTTAGCGATAGATGTTAAAGGTACATCCCTGGTAGATAAAAGTTAGCAATCCATTTATTGCAAAACCAAGGCTGATAACCATTTCCATCACAGGAAGCAATTTCAGAAGCCTAATTCCATTAAAAAGTATGGAAATTCATAGTTAAATTATATTTAATTCATGAAAATTCAAGCTTAACAACAATCTACAAAATTATCAAGGTAATTCTACAGAAAAGTTTGGAAAATTTGGAAAAATCTCTGGGAGCTGTAAAGTCAAGTTCCCTTTTTTTAACTATACTTCAGAATGTTAAACCATGTGACTTGTTTTAGGAACTAAGATAACATAGCTTTAAAATAGCAAGAATAAAATGTGAGGAAGTAAAACAAATGTGATGCAAAAAAAAGAAATAATAGATTATGCTAAAAACATCTGGTTGCTAAAATTTGATGTTGAAACAGAACAGAATGTAAGAATAAAATGCAAAAATACAATATATAATGTAGAAAGACAATATAAATTATTCATCTCATACTGATGAAAACTCCTATAATCAGGCACTAATACCAAACAGCATACTCTGTTGTTGACAGCCGACGTTTTTTCTGCTAACCACTGTTGCATAATTGATTTCTGTAAATTGAACGTTTTTTTCCATGATTAATTAATATTTTATCTCCTTTAAATCTCTTTTAGACCCTGGTGGGTGCTGTTTGTCTGTGAGTATTCTTTAGTTGTTTTATTATACGATATATTATTACACTTGGTTATGATTCTTCATTGATTTTATATTAAAGATTTTTGATTAACTAGCATCTTAAGTTGATTATGTCGCAGATGA